GAAACAACATTACGTGCATGTCATCATATTCAAGTAATTTTCACACATAAAAGTTTCTATAGCTGTGGTTTTGAAATGAGTTTACCATAAGAAGAATATTTAATTTTTTCGCAGTAAATAAATGGTTACACTCAGAAAAAGAAAATAAGTCAAACATGTTATAAATAATTTTTAACGACAACTGCATGATATCTGCATACCTAGAGGCAGTTAAATAATAACTCGATTATAATCGGATATATAACTATGTACATATTTTAACACGACATAATTGAAAGGTATAACATAAAATTCTCATTTAGTTAACAAATATTTGAGGCTTTGTCAAAGCTCATTTTACAGTTGTCTTATTGCCCGCTACTTTAAATTTCCACATTTCTACCCAATTACAAAACACGATCCCGCTTATTACCATCACTTTTTCTCTTGGTGTACTAACCAACAGTTTGCTTCCTTAACTCATTAAAATTTCATATAACAAGAAAATAATTTCAATTTCTTAATCAATCTCAATCAGTTAAAGTGAAAAGTTGATTGTTAATTTTCATGCACGAAAGAGTGAAATGAACAAGAAAGATCAAAAATAAACCTTAAAGGGAAGTAAATTATTTTCATAATGGCAAGGGAGGTCCTGTAATAATGGGGTAATTTGTTAACATTCTACTAATGTAAAGGGAAATGCATTTTTATTGCACCTCTTTAGGTTTTAGCAAAAATAAAAAAATAATCACTATTTTCTTTTTACTTTTGATGACAAAGTTGATAGAGTAATAAGTAGAAATGTAGTTATAAAAGAAAAACTCATATGATGTACATTTGCACAAACACATACATATGTATATAAGAGAGGACCATATAAATACAGCTTGTATTTAGTTAATAGTTCTTTAGCCTTTCACTTTTGTTCAAAAAGCTTTAATAATTCACTCAAATACAGATAAAAATAAGTAAGAGATTATAGTCGAATGAGGCCTACCATCTAATACCCTACACCAGTTGTAATAATAAAATGTGATATAGTAGTTTTCATAATAAAGCATTTAAGTTGAATTGTACCTTGCCTCAGATAAACTTTAGTCATTTATTGTTGAATAAATTTGTGGACATTTATTTAAGTCATATTTTGAATATGGGGTTTGTGTAGGGGCTAGTTAGTTAGTTAGTTAGTTAGTTAGTTAGTTAGTTAGTTAGTTAGTTAGTAGTAGTTAGTTAGTTAGTTAGTTAGTTAGTTAGTTAGTAGTTAGTTAGTTAGTTAGTAGTTAGTTAGTTAGTTAGTTAGTTAGTTAGTTAGTTAGTTAGTTAGTTAGTTAGTTAGTTAGTTAGTTAGTTAGTTAGTTAGTTAGTTAGTTAGTTAGTTAGTTAGTAGTTAGTTAGTTAGTAGTTAGTTAGTTAGTTAGTTAGTTAGTTAGTTAGTTAGTTAGTTAGTAGTTAGTTAGTTAGTTAGTTAGTTAGTTAGTTAGTAGTTAGTTAGTTAGTTAGTTAGTAGTTAGTTAGTTAGTTAGTTAGTTAGTTAGTTAGTAGTTAGTTAGTTAGTTAGTTAGTTAGTTAGTTAGTTAGTTAGTTAGTTAGTTAGTTAGTTAGTTAGTTAGTTAGTTAGTTAGTTAGTTAGTTAGTTAGTAGTTAGTTAGTTAGTTAGTTAGTTAGTTAGTTAGTTAGTAGTTAGTTAGTTAGTTAGTTAGTTAGTTAGTTAGTTAGTTAGTTAGTTAGTTAGTTAGTTAGTTAGTTAGTTAGTTAGTTAGTTAGTAGTTAGTTAGTTAGTTAGTTAGTTAGTTAGTTAGTAGTTAGTTAGTTAGTTAGTTAGTTAGTTAGTAGTTAGTTAGTTAGTTAGTTAGTAGTTAGTTAGTAGTTAGTTAGTTAGTTAGTTAGTTAGTTAGTTAGTAGTTAGTTAGTTAGTTAGTTAGTTAGTTAGTTAGTTAGTTAGTTAGTTAGTTAGTTAGTAGTTAGTTAGTTAGTTAGTTAGTTAGTAGTTAGTTAGTTAGTTAGTTAGTTAGTTAGTTAGTTAGTTAGTTAGTTAGTTAGTTAGTAGTTAGTTAGTTAGTTAGTAGTTAGTTAGTTAGTTAGTTAGTTAGTTAGTTAGTTAGTTAGTTAGTTAGTTAGTTAGTTAGTTAGTTAGTTAGTTAGTTAGTTAGTTAGTTAGTTAGTTAGTTAGTTAGTTAGTTAGTTAGTTAGTTAGTTAGTTAGTTAGTTAGTTAGTTAGTTAGTTAGTTAGTTAGTTAGTTAGTTAGTTAGTTAGTTAGTTAGTTAGTTAGTTAGTTAGTTAGTTAGTTAGTTAGTTAGTTAGTTAGTTAGTTAGTTAGTTAGTTAGTTAGTTAGTTAGTTAGTTAGTAGTTAGTTAGTTAGTTAGTTAGTTAGTTAGTTAGTTAGTTAGTTAGTTAGTTAGTTAGTTAGTTAGTTAGTTAGTTAGTTAGTTAGTTAGTTAGTTAGTTAGTTAGTTAGTTAGTTAGTTAGTTAGTTAGTTAGTTAGTTAGTTAGTTAGTTAGTTAGTTAGTTAGTAGTTAGTTAGTTAGTTAGTTAGTTAGTTAGTTAGTTAGTTAGTTAGTTAGTTAGTTAGTTAGTTAGTTAGTTAGTTAGTTAGTTAGTTAGTTAGTTAGTTAGTTAGTTAGTTAGTTAGTTAGTTAGTTAGTTAGTTAGTTAGTTAGTTAGTTAGTTAGTTAGTTAGTTAGTTAGTTAGTTAGTTAGTTAGTTAGTTAGTTAGTTAGTTAGTTAGTTAGTTAGTTAGTTAGTTAGTTAGTTAGTTAGTTAGTTAGTTAGTTAGTTAGTTAGTTAGTTAGTTAGTTAGTTAGTTAGTTAGTTAGTTAGTTAGTTAGTTAGTTAGTTAGTTAGTTAGTAGTTAGTTAGTTAGTTAGTTAGTTAGTTAGTTATAACTATATAACTATATTTAGGTTCCGAACGAAAAATGGTAGAGGGTTGAAATTTTCCACAAATATTCTCCATAGGTAGGTTTGATTCGTATTTAAAATGGCAAAAATCATATTAAACGTATTCATAACTGGTGTAGACTATGTACTTGTTTAAAATAAAAACCTCATATGGAAAAAGTGCTTAATACAATAAGACATTGTAACTTTATGAATTGCTACAACAACAAAGCCATGATTCATGAAAATTTCATTCAAAAATTGCATATTTTCAAACATACCGTCATAAGTGTTCTAACAAACTTTCCCTTTAACTAAACAAAAGAAATAATTTTACCCCTAATCCACCATTAAAATAAAAATAATATTTAGATTATGGTGACAAAAGAAAAACTTGTATTTATAAAACAACAACAACAACTAAACTTAAGTAACACTAGACATAAATGCTTCAAAGACACGTAAACTTTATATTCATTCACTTAAAAAATGAGGCAACTTGGTGGTTGTTGTACGTGAAACTCCAAAAGGTGCTAACTGTGAAAGGACTCTAGTGTGCTTGAGTGTTGGTATGCGTGTAAAAGTGGGGGAATTGTATCGGTATGTTGGTATTAGTAAATGTTAGTACTAATTTAGCTTAAGCTAAACAAAAATACCTGTCTGTTCCTATTTATATGTATGAAAGTACCTCCCCACGAATACATAGAGAACTTTAATAAACTACGAGTTGTGCGAGAGAGTAAATAGAGGTACAATGCAATATACAGTTGAGGCATAACAAAGGAACAATGAGGTATAAGAAGTACTATGAATGGATTAGGCATAAGAACTTTAATGATTGAAAATGTACACACAACTAACCAGAAATATTTGACTAGAACTGGACTTACACTATATCAGGACTAAGTTAGATCTGAACTAAAAGGTACTAGAAGAGAATTAAAATTTAACTAGGTCAGAACAAAACTCGACCTGAACTAAGCTAGAACTGACTAATATTGTATTTGAAATGAACTAGAAACTGAACTAGAACTGAACTAGAACTGAACTAGAACTGAACTAGAACTGAACTAGAACTGAACTAGAACTGAACTAGAACTGAACTAGAACTGAACTAGAACTGAACTAGAACTGAACTAGAACTGAACTAGAACTGAACTAGAACTAAACTAGAACTGAACTAGAACTGAACTAGAACTGAACTAGAACTGAACTAGAACTGAACTAGAACTGAACTAGAACTGAACTAGAACTGAACTAGAACTGAACTAGAACTGAACTAGAACTGAACTAGAACTGAACTAGAACTGAACTAGAACTGAACTAGAACTGAACTAGAACTGAACTAGAACTGAACTAGAACTGAACTAAGAACTGAACTAGAACTGAACTGAACTAGAACTGAACTAGAACTGAACTAGAACTGAACTAGAACTGAACTAGAACTGAACTAGAACTGAACTAGAACTGAACTAGAACTGAACTAGAACTGATCTAGAACTGAACTAGAACTGAACTAGAACTGAACTAGAACTGAACTAGAACTGAACTAGAACTGAACTAGAACTAGAACTGAACTAGAACTGAACTAGAACTGAACTAGAACTGAACTAGAACTGAACTAGAACTGAACTAGAACTGAACTAGAACTGAACTAGAACTGAACTAGAACTGAAATAGAACTGAACTAGAACTGAACTAGAACTGAACTAGAACTGAACTAGAACTGAACTAGAACTGAACTAGAACTGAACTAGAACTGAACTAGAACTGAACTAGAACTGAACTAAAACTGAATAAGAAGTAAATTAAACTAAAATCGAATTATAATACGATTTTAATACAAGTTTATTATTCATTCTACTAACTGAACACCTGACTGTACTTCACACTAAATGTAAAAAGCCTAGTATAAACAGAGTGGCACTAGTTTTGTTTTAGACAGACTTTATAACTAAATAATAACTCGATCATGACACCAAATACAACAACAGAAAAATTTAGGGTGGCCGACAAGCACATGGGGTGGGGGTTAATAGTTGTTGGGTTTTTTGTACATAAAATGTACATTTGAATATTGACCACATTTGTAAGGATTATTTAACCAAACGTATTTAGTAGAGACTTTGAGGTGAACGTGTTAAGTTTAAAAGCGGCATATAAACGAGTATAATTACGAGAAAGATTTGAAATTTGAAAAATAAAAGAAAACAATAGAAACATTTAATAATTAGAAAAATTTTAAAAAAGTGGGATATTTAAAAAAGGATAAATAAATTAAAAAGTGAGTTAAATGTTAAAAAAGGGATTAGTAAAGATTAATATAATAAATACAAGATATTATTTATATGGCAATACTTTACGTAACAATTTTATAGAATTATGGTCAATATAAATTTGATATAAATATTGACCATAATTCTATATAATTGTTAATGCAAATTTATTTTCAATAGTGGTGTTTTTTTAATTACAGTTACTGAATGGTAAGGTAGTGTTTCTGCACATTGTTTTACTATTTGGTTAAATTCCGTATTTAATTGATCCACTTGTAACACCCCAACCAACCAACCAACCACAAACCAAAGTTCGTGTATATAGTGTTGGTATAATATTTATTTTTCATTTATCTACAATAACCAAAAAGTAATATAAACTTTATTATTACACTTGTAACTTCATAATCTACATTGGAAGGACAGTGTTTTAAATATTCTAAAAGTGTTTAAATGAAATTGATTATACTACTTTATTTTGGCCAATTCTTTATAATAAAATTAACTCATTACATTTTTATACGATTTTCTAGTTAATACAGGGCATACTAAAGTCGCCCTGACCGAGAAATAACAACATTTGATGTTTTAAATAAATACACGACATAGTTGGGTTTTTTTCAACCGTAACTCCGATTGCCAACAATAACAGTAGGAAAAAAGTTAAAGAAACCCCGTTTGTAGTTATTTATGCCAACTGTTTATTTGCATAATTTAAAGTTATTTTATACCCATGCAATAATAAAACAGTAAAAAATTCAACAGAAAATGTTTTCCTGTTAAAGGATATAGTAGATATGCAGTTTGTTGTAGTTGGTAGTACAGCGAACAACACAAGTTGAAAGTTGGAAACACAAAAGAACAAAAACATGCAAAAACTATTTGTTGTATAAAAACAAAATCAAAAGCTGAGGATTAAAGAAAGAACTAGTCCGGAAATAGCTTTTGTATCGATTGACCATCTAAATTTAGAGAATTTATAGAGTCATTTATTTAGGTCTTGAATTTGCGGTAATATTTTTTATAATTTATTACGTAAATACTGAAAGCAAAAAATTACAATTTATGACAATTTTGGTAATTGGTGGCACATTTTTATGACATGGAGAAACGCCTCTATTTCCTTTAAAAGTTAAATAAAATTTCCTAACGAAAGATGTAATTATATACTTGTAAATCACTCATAGCATTTAAAAAAAAGTTAAAGATTAATTTAACACAGAATTTTTCGTGTAAGAGGTAAATATATTATGAAAATCACACGTGATTTAAAATAAAAACGATACAAATCGGGATTAAGAACGAGTTATTAACTAAACTAGAAACAGAATAGAACAGAACTAGAACAGAACTAGAACAGAACTAGAACAGAACTAGAACAGAAACTAGAACAGAACTAGAACAGAACTAGAACAGAACTAGAACAGAACTAGAACAGAACTAGAACAGAACTAGAACAGAACTAGAACAGAACTAGAACAGAACTAGAACAGAACTAGAACTAGAACAGAACTAGAACAGAACTAGAACAGAACTAGAACAGAACTAGAACAGAACTAGAAAAACTAGAACAGAACTAGAACAGAACTAGAACAGAACTAGAACAGAACTAGAACAGAACTAGAACAGAACTAGAACAGAACTAGAACAGAACTGAACAGAACCAGAACAGAACTAGAACAGAACTAGAACAGAACTAGAACACTAGAACGAACTAGAAAACTAGAACAGAACTAGAACAGAACTAGAACAGAACTAGAACAGAACTAGAACAGAACTAGAACAGAACTAGAACAGAACTAGAACAGAACTAGAACAGAACTAGAACAGAACTAGAACAGAACTAGAACAGAACTAGAACAGAACTAGAACAGAACTAGAACAGAACTAGAACAGAACTAGAACAGACTAGAACAGAACTAGAACAGAACTAGAACAGAACTAGAACAGAACTAGAAAGACAGAACTAGAACAGAACTAGAACAGAACTAGAACAGAACTAGAACAGAACTAGAACAGAACTAGAACAGACTAGAACAGAACTAGAACAGAACTAGAACAGAACTAGAACAGAACTAGAACAGAACTAGAACAGAACTAGAACAGAACTAGAACAGAACGAACAGAACTAGAACAGAACTAGAACAGAACTAGAACAGAACTAGAACAGAACTAGAACAGAACTAGAACAGAACTAGAACAGAACTAGAACAGAACTAGAACAGAACTAACAGAACTAGAACAGAACTAGAACAGAACTAGAACAGACTAGAACAGAACTAGAGACTAGAACAGAACTAGAACAGAACTAACAGAACTAGAACAGACTAGAACAGAACTAGAACAGAACTAGAACAACTAGAACAGAACTAGAACAGAACTAGAACAGAACTAGAACAGAACTAGAACAGACTAGAACAGAACTAGAACAGAACTAGAACAGAACTAGAACAGAACTAGAACAACTAGAACAGAACTAGAACAGAACTAGAACAGAACTAGAACAGAACTAGAAAACAGAACTAGAAAAACAGAACTAGAACAGAACTAGAACAGAACTAGAACAGAACTAGAACAGAACTAGAACAGAACTAGAACAGAACTAGAACAGAACTAGAACAGAACTAGAACAGAACTAGAACAGAACTAGAACAGAACTAGAACAGAACTAGAACAGAACTAGAACAGAACTAGAACAGAACTAGAACAGAACTAGAACGAACTAGAACAGAACTAGAACAGAACTAGAACAGAACTAGAACAGAACTAGAACAGAACTAGAACAGAACTAGAACAGAACTAGAACAGAACTAGAACAGAACTAGAACAGAACTAGAACAGAACTAGAACAGAACTAGAACAAACTAGAACAGAACTAGAACAGAACTAGAACAGAAACTAGAAGAACTAGAACAAGAACTAGAACAGAACTAGAACAGAACTAGAACAGAACTAGAACAGGAACTAGAACAGAACTAGAACAGAACTAGAACAGAACTAGAACAGAACTAGAACAGAAATAGAACAGAACTAGAACAGAAAACTAGAACATAACTAGAACAGAACTAGAACAGAACTAGAACAGAATAGAACAGAACTAGAACAGAACTAGAACAGAACTAGAAACAGAACTAGAACAGAACTAGAAACAGAACTAGAACAGAACTAGAACAGAACTAGAACAGAACTAGAACAGAACTAGAACAGAACTAGAACAGAAACTAGAAACAGAACTAGAACAGAACTAGAACAGAACTAGAAACAGAACTAGAACAGAACTAGAACATAACTAGAACAGAACTAGAATCAGAACTAGAACAGAACTAGAACAGAACTAGAACAGAACTAGAACAGAACTAGAACAGAACTAGAACAGAAACTAGAACAGAACTAGAACAGAACTAGAACAGAACTAGAACAGAACTAGAACAGAACTAGAACAGAACTAGTAACAGAACTAGAACAGAACTAGAACAGAACTAGAACAGAACTAGAACAGAACTAGAACAGAACTAGAACAGAACTAGAACAGAACTAGAACAGAACTAGAACAGAACTAGAACAGAACTAGAACAGAACTAGAACAGAACTAGAACAGAACTAAGAACAGAACTAGAACAGAACTAGAACAGAACTAGAACAGAACTAGACAGAACTAGAACAGAACTAGAACAGAACTAGAACAGAACTAGAACAGAACTAGAACAGAACTAGAACAGAACTAGAACAGAACTAGAACAGAACTAGAACAGAACTAGAACAGAACTAGAACAGAACTAGAACAGAACTAGAACAGAACTAGAACAGAACTAGAACAGAACTAGAACAGAACTAGAACAGAACTAGAACAGAACTAGAACAGAACTAGAACAGAACTAGAACAGAACTAGAACAGAACTAGAACAGAACTAGAACAGAACTAGAACAGAACTAGAACAGAACTAGAACAGAACTAGAACAGAACTAGAACAGAACTAGAACAGAACTAGAACAGAACTAGAACAGAACTAGAACAGAACTAGAACAGAACTAGAACAGAACTAGAACAGAACTAGAACAGAACTAGAACAGAACTAGAACAGAACTAGAACAGAACTAGAACAGAACTAGAACAGAACTAGAAACAGAACTAGAACAGAACTAGAACAGAACTAGAACAGAACTAGAACAGAACTAGAACAGAACTAGAACAGAACTAGAACAGAACTAGAAACAGAACTAGAACAGAACTAGAACAGAACTAGAACAGAACTAGACAGAACTAGAACGAACTAGAACAGAAACTAGAACAGAACTAGAACAGAACTAGAACAGAACTAGAACAGAACTCGAACAGAACTAGAACAGAAACTAGAACAGAACTAGAACAGAACTAGAACAGAACTAGAACAGAACTAGAACAGAACTAGAACAGAACTAGAACAGAACTAGAACAGAACTAGAACAGAACTAGAACAGAACTAGAACAGAAACTAGACAACCCAGAAACTGAACAGAACTAGAACAGAAACTAGAACAGAACTAGAAACAGAACTAGAAAGAACTAGAACAGAACTAAACAGAACACTAGAACAGAACTAGAACAGAACTAGAACAGAACTAGAACAGAACTAGAACAGAACTAGAACAGAACTAGAACAGAACTAGAACAGAACTAGAACAGAACTAGAACAGAACTAGAACAGAACTAGAACAGAACTAGAACAGAACTAGAACAGAACTAGAACAGAACTAGAACAGAACTAGAACAGAACTAGAACAGAACTAGAACAGAACTAGAACAGAACTAGAACAGAACTAGAACAGAACTAGAACAGAACTACAACAGAACTAGAACAGAACTAGAACAGAACTAGAACAGAACTACAACAGAACTAGAACAGAACTAGAACAGAACTAGAACAGAACTAGAACAGAGCTAGAACAGAACTAGAACAGAACTAGAACAGAACTAGAACAGAACTAGAACAGAACTAGAACAGAACTAGAACAGAACTGAACAGAACAG